AGAATTTTTTTAGCAGAGTCTATTTTATTCCTTGTACTATATATTCTGAAATGTATAATTTTTGAGAAAGAGATTTTATACCGGAGTTGGATCCAGAGAAAGCTCCATCGTCAGAGGTACCTTCCATCTCTCTCTCTCTAAGATTGCTCTCTCCTTCTCTCTCTAAAATTGCCCTCTTCTTCTTGGTGTGAAGAAGCCTGAGCCAGGGTGCTGCTATTAATAGAAAAGTTTGGACCCCCACGTGGCAGCACTGCAAGCAAGTGCCACGACAGCTAGCGGTACAACCGAGGCAGGTCGTATAGGAATTAGGAACCAAAAAAATCCTGTTCGGGTCGGATCCAATACCACATCGATCCATTTCGTGAGTCCAACCCGTTAACTAGAAGCTTTCGGTCTCAGATGAAAATCATATGGCTCGTTGGTGATCGATCAGATTCATCGAGCCAGCTCCAAGGCCGGTTCGAGTCCGCCAGCGGGAAATGGTTCATGACTTCACGCGGTCAGAATCAATCGGGCGGCCAATGAGCAGGAGATTGGATATTAATAATTAATGCCTACCTTTTGCCAATATATAACATACTACAGTTATTGTTAAAGCTTGGCATGCAGTGAATAATTCTCAATCTGAAAATTATTCAGCAGTAAGTAAGGTGGATTTGTAGGGCTGAGTAATTCTGGTCGCCATTAATAACAAAAATATAGTGCTATGACTTTTTTTATTAAAATAATATAATTTGCACAAAGTTTATTACTCCTCTAATTAAACTATTTTTCTTCTGGTTGGTTCTTAAATAAATAACTGAAAGTCGCGAACAGTTACTGAAGCTAAGAGAAGAATTTACCATTTTTAGATCATTATGATTTATGACTACCGGAATGCAATTTTTTTTATTAGTTTGATGAGAGAGAGAGAGAGAATCCAGTTTAAATAATAAAGACTGCACTTGAATAGACAGTTCGGCCTATTAATAACTTATAATTTGTAGCTTTACGTTTTTTTTGGTTAAATTAGTTTGTAGCTTCTTAATTTTAATTGATCAAGACTTCTCGGTTGGGTCAGATTCTACCCAACAAGTGATATCATGGTCACAGTTTGTTGCCCGATGAAAATTGAAATCCAATGTACATCCCGAAAGTCTCGTGAGAACGAAAGGTTGAGATATTCAGGTTAGCCCTAGAGTTGTTATTAATTTAAGAATGTTTAGCGTGGCATAATATTGCTCCTATAGTTGTCATTAATTTTTAGATCGAGTCAAACAGACGAAGCTTATTTGTACCCCATAAGTGGTGGAAAATTTCTATGTGGATCTTGAGTAGTCATGTCATGGATTCGGATCCTCTCCACTACAAAAAAAATAGTGGAGGGACCACTACATAATCACAGTTATTGATTATCTAGTTGATGGTTATGATTTTTTCTTTTAGTGCAAATTAGGAATGAGTGCAATACACGGGGGTATGGTAACTGTTAGATTTAGATTGTATCATAACCGCCTACTAAATAATCAATGCTTGGAATTAAAATTAGTGATCTCTCCACTATTTTTTTGTAGTGGAGAGGATCCAAATCCGTCATGTCATCTCTATAGGTACCAATTGATCATACCAAATTGGCGAAAGGCTTGAGCTTCTGGTGAATGATTGAGCCATACTCGCGTAGGAAAAGTTAATAGAAAATGATGGACTTAACTTATATATATATGATACGTGTTTTTGGTTAAATTGTTTATAGCTTCTTTTTAATTTGAGGCATATTAATTAACTCTTGATTGGACCAGATTCTCCCAAACAAACTGCGGAAAAAGAACTAACCTTTGAACTCATTAGGACTAAGTGCAGGCTTTAGGTTGGATCAGAGAATCTAAAAAACTTGTCGTCGAGTGACAAATATTTACTTAGATAGAATCACGCTTAACAGGAGAAAAATTTCTTGGTTGTCGCATTCAGATATTGTTGTTTGCTTATCAGAATCTTAATTTAATTAAGCGATGTGCCTAGATCTAGATAACACAAAATCTAAAAACTTGTCGTCAAGTGATTGTATAAATGGACATTTTTAATCTCGCTATAACAATATCTGATAGGAATAATTTTGCAGTCGTCGCTTTCAGATATTGTCGTCTTATGACTTTGCAGTCGTCGCATTCAGATATTTTCGTCTTATAAGTTTACAGTCGCCGCGTACAGATCTTGTCGCATCTAGATTTTGTCGCATCCAGATCTTATCGTCCTATAATTTTTGTTTTTCTCAGGATCATTTTTTTGTAGTAAATGTGGATTTTAACCTTTTGATACTAGGAACTAATCGTAATAATATTTTTTTGGGTGAATGTATGACAGTAGTCTTATCACATAAGTTAAAATGAATTTAATCTAACTAATTAATTAAAACATCTTATAATATGGTTCATCTTCTTGGATTTGTTTTAGATCTGATGAATGCTTATGAAATATATGCAACTTTCCTCATTCTTACCACTGTATAAGGGCCGTTTGGATCGGGTATTTTGAAGGGGAAAGGAGGGGAAAACTGCCAATTTGTCAGCTTTTTGGTAGCTTTCCCCCAAAATCGCTTCTATAATAGGCGATTTTGGGGAAAAGCTGTCAAAAAGCTGACAAATTGGCACCTTTTCCCCTCCTTTCCTTTTCAAAATACCTGATCGAAACTGCCCCTAAATAACTAAACAATGATTGTTTTGTCAGCTAATTAAGGAGGACTGGTCTTTTTAATGTGCAACTGAAAAGGTGTCCACAGTACAAGATCGCACAAAATCTAAGAAAAACATAATTAGTATGGAGTTATACATATGGTACATCTAAACCCCATCACAATGGCCTCTAATTAACTAGTTAATAAGAAGGAAGTTATCTATAGTCGTTGCATTCCACTCGATCTCATTGTGAACTTTAGAATTTCATAGAGTATGCTTCTCATGAGTTTACCTTAGTAACAAGTACTTTACTCTTTCCACAATTACGAGCATCATATTCCTCATATATAGTTGCTATTTGAATAACTGATCGAAAACGGTTAGGATTTGACCTTCTAACACGTCATGACTTACTAAATGCAATCTTTATATTGAGTTGAGGGCATCTACGGAGCTTAATTATCATAGAAAGATGTAGATGATATATAGTCCAAAATCTCTGATGATTTAATACGCAATTAGGAATTAAATTTAAGGTGTTTTAGTCGTCGTACGTGTTCATGTTTCTTTAATTGTCATGTTATAACTTTCCGAACCATGGTCTCGCTCTCTCTCTTGATATTTCGGCCTCATTCGATCCGCTATAAGTTTTAGCAAATGTTTATGTAATTTAATTATGAAACAATATTGTTAGAATATAAAATTATAATCTTTATATAGTTCTCTTGTCGCAATTTTAAAGTTTGTCTTGTAATATATAGTTGAGTATTTTCATATAGTATTAGAGCAAACCATGTTCAAACCCCATCAGCCAAGGATTTGAAGTGGATTTTCTAAAAATCGATGTTGTTGCGTGAGTCCAGGCTTCAACTCATGAATCAAATCCCAACAGCCACGGATTTAAAGCAGATCTTTAGCTTTTCAACAAATGAGAGAAGAACGCTCAACACGCGAGAGGATATTAAATATAAATACATAACTCTCAACTCTTAGTGTAATTGTTAAGGACTTTGAGAAGGGGATTAAAAAGATAAAATTTCACTGTTGTTCGGGCTAAAATTTTGAAAATAAATAATAAAAAAAATCTAACGGTAAATTCTAGAACGGGGTTTTGGTCGGTTGGCGCACCGATAAGTAGTGTCAAGGGTATTAGTGTACATTTTTTATGTGTAAACAAAAGTATTAATAGTAGCTGCACGTGGGCTCCACGTGATTATGAGCTGGATTGGCAAGTAAAACCAAGGAGCCGTGCCAAAGGAAGTTAATATTAGAGCGCATACCTCCATAAACATTTACACAGAGCTCACAAACAGACGCTGTATTAGCGTCACAGCTCATATGCATGCTGTTACGGTTGGAAGGATGAGCATGCCAAGTCCACGAGTGGCAACAAAAGTTGTTGGTAGCAAATTTCAAGGAGAAAAGATATTAGAGGAGAAAGAAGAAAAATTCTTTAAGGACCCAAAATATGGGATCAATAAAGGGGACAAGTGAGGTGTTCCCCTCCTATTGGATAATGAGTTGGTCATCATTAATGATGACCAACTCATTATCCAATAGGAGGGGAACACCTCACTTGTCCCCTTTATTGGTCCCATATTTTGGGTCACTGTAGCAAAGCTCGAGAAAGAATTTGGGGGTATTTTCTTTTATGTCACCGACCGAGTCACTATTTTGGGAGCGCAGATAGCGCTTACAAAGTTTTCTCTCTAGAAAAAAAAAGGTTTTAATTTGTTATTTTCAATTAATTAAAAAAGTTTTATGTTTTTAGATGATTTATGGCTCACTACCACATATATGCTCTAACGCAACGGTTCAAAAACCGTTGCGTTAGCCATGGAACCGTCGCCCTTGAGCAAGCGCGACGGTTCTCAAACTGCCTCATATACTGCCGTTGCCCTATCTCTACCGTAACGGTTTTGAACTCTACTACGACTGTTTTTTGAACCGTTGCCCCTGCATCTAACGCAACAGTTTTAATTTAATAGGCTATAGCTATGGTTCTCATAGAGCTACGGCGACAGTTGGAGCTATTGCAACAGTTTTAAAAGACCTAACGCAACGGTTTTAGTAGGCTATAGCTATGGTTTTGATAGAGCTATGGCAACAATTGGAGCTATTGCAACAGTTTTAAAAGACCTAACGCAACAGTTTGGATTGAGCTATCGCAACAGTTTGGATCGAGCTATCGCAGCGGTTTTGATCGAGCTATCGCAACGGTTTTAATCGAGCTATTGCAACTGCTCAATCGAAGCTGTTCTTGGTTTCCTACGTCAAAATAATTATAGTATTCAATTACCTGGACAATCTTTTTAAGAACATGGCCAAGTCAAATTTTAATACGCAATATAAAAGTGATTATGTTGAGCATAATCAACCATAATGATAAGTGCCAACATACATCAGTATAGTATAAAAACTACAAAGTATTAAATCCACACTACCAACATTTCAACTCAGAAAATATCGTACCGAACTAACATTCAAACAATGTACATCAACATTTGATTACAAAACATGAAACTTCTGAAATTGGAAGGTGATATGTTGGCCTGCCAGATGATTAAAAGTCTCCCTCCTGACATTGGACACAAAAGTAAGTATAAATAAGTACTATAGAGAAGAGGAAGTGCACGACATGGGAACATTTCTGAAAAATAAATACCTGGTGATATCATAGACTAATAGTGCGCCTGCAGCTCCTCTGTAATAGGATCTTGTAATGGATCTGAAGGATTCTTGGCCTGCCTATAATGATAGAAACTTCAAGTCAGATGCATATAATAGTTACGAACATATAATAGCTAGAGATAAACCAATGATAGAAGCAGAGAAACATTTACATGTATATACCGAATCACAGGACAAAGAAAGTGATGATGTGTTACAAACATTTATAGCAAAAAGTTCATTAAGAAGGCTATTTTTTTTACAGCATAAAAAAGAAAATTCAGCATAAAATTTAGTACGCGCTTTAAACCTGTCAACAAAGCTTGGACTAACTGGACGTCCAGTTACTTCACTCAACATATCATTTTTTAAACCAGTAAAGCATTAACGTTTCAGCAAGCACTTCCACCGCCTCCATGCACTATTAATTGTTTGCAAGGTCCATTTTCGTCCGGAATTGGCAATTGAATACTTCTCCTACAATGACATAACAATATACAAGTTAAAATCTACCTTGTCATTACACAAAATGATTTTTTTTGTGCTATATCATACCTTCACATAGTCCCATAAACTATCTTTGTCTTCTTTCCCAATTTCGTGCCAATTCTTATCTAGTGGTGTTCGTCTTGGATTTCTTCCAAGGGTACCCAGAAAACTACTAAGTTCATTTAAGATATTATCTGTTGGTCCAATAGGTACCCCAAATTTATCTAAAATTACAACTGGACGTGCCTATATGCCTCGTTCATGTACTTTTAAGCACTTTCCCTACATTCGCATATCAGCCGGTATATTACAGCGTGGAAGACAGACACGCCAAAAAAATTATATATCAAGAAGGTCGTATAAACTTAACAGCGAGAGAACACAAAAGCTGTTACGCCTGCTACAAATTTGATAAAAATGCATGTTAGGCTTGTAAAGATTAACTTCAACACTACTAAATTTGATAAGTAAAGAACACGTAACTACGTAAAGTCGCATTTACCAAAATATTTCAGCTTAAAGTATAGTAGATAACCCGATAAAGGCGTTGACACATGAACGCTATAGTTAAAAGAGGAGCAAAATCAACAACTGCCGACTTCTCACGGACAATGAACAAGCGAAATTAAAAGGTACCTAAGTCTCTCTATCAAAAGGGCCACGATTGAGTGAGCCACAAGACATTCACAATCAAACAACACAAAACAAATTGGTACCGATTCAAGGTTGAAATAGCAGACCATTTTTTTAACAGCTGAAGAGATAAACGTAAAATCTTTGTTTCGCAAACTCTTTTTACTCATTTCGAAATCATAAAATTCAAGACAGACCCCAAGTACGTAAGCTTCTTTCACTCAATCGAAGGTACTGCAAGGAATATGACACGTGATCAAAACCCCCAGCTAAAAACACATTATCTAAACAGAAAATGAAACTAAATTAGGGGGGAAATCAGAGATCGACGACGACCTATATCGGAGATGAGATCGGAGACGAGACCAGCAGCTTGACGAAGACATTATTACGAGATCGACGACGAATCAGAGCTGAGATCGGCAGACGATGGAGATCGAAAAACGGCGAAGAGATTAGCGACGAGTTAAGCGATGAGATCGACAAATTTCGGCCATGGCGATCTCTCAGACGAAAAAGAAGAGGCGGATTTTAGAAGGGTGATGAGTTGAGTGAGAGAGAAAGAGGGATATTTGGTAAAGCGGTGAGAAACAAATGAGATTCGTTTCAGTGTAAAGCCCAAGCCAGCTTATAAAAATCGGCCCAAATCAAAATTATTGGGCCAAGCGAAGCGGTTTTTGATAAACCATTTCAAAGTGTTGTAAAACCGCCCCCATAGATATCTAGCGCAACGCGTCATAAGCGTTTGCACTAGAACTGTTGGCGTTAGAGCAAATATGTGGAGTGGCTGCAGACTCAATTAGACTCACAGGTCAACATCTTCCAAAAAGTGCGGGTGGAAAATAAGAAACGTTCTCTCTCTCTCTCTCTCTCTCTATATATAGTATATATATAATATATATATATATATATATATATATTATATATATATATTATATATATATAATAATATATATATAGTATAGAAAACAACATCTCATAATTTTTCTCTGTAGTGTGAAAAAATAGTACAAGCTAGAGTAGTGCAGTTAACTTTTACCCTTATAACTTACTATTTTGTGTACATTTGACGTTGTTCTTTTAAGAGACCTTAGACAATATTTGTTGCGCCCAATTGTAGTTGAAGAAGAAAAGTTGTTGTCGTCGCGTGTATGTCTGGGGTGTGTGTGGGGTGGGTGGGGTGGGGTGGCGGGGGTCACAAGTTTAAGCCAAAGTGCAAAAATTTAATTAGTCAGGGGAAATGACTAATATATATCCAGTAGCTTTGCTACAGGGATCCAAAAATATGGGACCAATAGGGAGAACAAGTAAGGTGTCCCCTCCTAGTGATAATGAGGTTGACCATCATTAATGATGATCAACTCATTATCCAATAGGAGGGGACACTCTTACTTGTTCTCCCTATTGGTCTCATATTTTGGTCATTGAAGAATTTTCATATCCAGAACAACAAAGAGTTTAACCACTACATTTGAACCTAATTAACTAACCCATTTACAGCAGTCATTAACACTCCCTCTCGGTTTTTTAACGCTTGCATTACTCTTCCTTCTGCCAAGTGGCGTCCAACTTCTCCTCTACTAATAGCAACGCCTAGAGCTTCTACTGGTCATCTCAACATTCGCAGAGAAAAGAATTTAGACGAAGAAAAAGGGAGTGATAAATGGATGGTGCTCAGGTCCATGATTCAAGCTCTCCCTTCTCCACACTGCAGCGTATAAACCCCCCCACCCCACCCCACCCCTCTTCTGCTCTCTTACAAACCCTAGATTGACACATCTTCGTTGCTGTGGCTTAAACTTCTCTGCTTCAGCATGTTCTTAATTGAGTCCAAAGCTTATTTGGTAGTCCAACATTATTCCAACAGGGAAAAAGGGATCTAAAACGGAAAACTTAGGTCCAATATTTGTCGAACGAGCTAATATATACACTTTTTCGGCTGAAGGCCTAATCTGATCACATCAATATTAAAGTAATTTACATCTGAAGCTTAATTAAGTGAACTTATTAGAGATGTTAGAATTTTAAACCCTCAACTTAAACCTCCCACGCGAACTTTAAGATTTATAACATTAATTAGAGGCAACCCAAAGTTTGCTTAAAACCCCTTTTTTAAAAACTTTTTTTTTAAAAAAAGAGCAAGTGCCATATGCAAATATTTGTAACATTTTTACTTTTGCTAATTTAGTAACCATTTATGCCTAATTAGCAATTTTTTGTTCGTAAGTAATTAAATTTACCTCTTGAGAGGAGTTCGGTGCTTTGCATGCTAATTAATTACATCTCATGCAGACCTCGGCTTCCGTCAAAATTATCCAATGTATGTACGCCCCTCGAATTCTTTTTTCTTTCACGCGCTTATAGGACTTTCTTATTTCTTCAAAAGGGTAATTCAAAAATATTCATTAAATTTTATCTATTCCAACTTTATTTTTTCAAATTTTGTCTTTGCTACATTACCATACTAGCTGTGAAGTGCAATTAACAAAAAGGCAGTCGTCTTCGTTTGACGCGACGCCGGGTGTAACGCTCCTGTAGTTATATGTCTTTAGACTCTACCGCGGCGCGCCCACTTGAATTACCTATAATATTTCTACCCATTGTTTAATTGTCCTACTCTCTTATGCATAACCGAAGCGTTGTTTTTCGTTGATTTCCACGAAATTTATAGGCCATTGCTTAAAAAGGAGTCGAGGACTCGTCAATTGAGGTAACGGTTGCGTCGCCGTTACGTTGTAAGATTCGCAATCCAGTGCATGTGCGCCGCACTGGCGCACTTTATTTGTCGTAACTCTTTGTGTTTCTAAGGTCCGTTGGAGCCATAGTAAGTAAGTAAATGTAACACACAGCTGAATCCTGAATGCGGCCTCACTATCCAACTGCGCTGCGTCACACGAGTCCGAAAGCCCGCTCGGCGCGTGCTTATATATAGGAAAAATTGCTAAAATAGTCCGTTTTACTAATTATTAGCGCAAAATAGCACCTTTGCCTAAAGTAATTAGCCCAAAATACACCTCTTTTTGGCCAACATGTCAAAAAATGTCTATTTGCAAAACAGCCTCAGAAAATCATACGGGACTAGTTAGTCCCGTACCGATTTTTAATCACGGCATCTAGTGAAACTCAGAAAATTTGCACAAAACATGCAGATGAATCTCAGAAAACCATAACCGAACCTATTGTAGCCGTATGTTTTCTAACTCAGAAAATTTCACAAAACATTCGAGATGAACTCAGAAAAAAAACATTTTATGAGACTATTAATCTCGTATGTCTTCGAGTCACTAATCCGTGATTAAGTTGGCTCTAAACATACGGCGACTATAGTCCGTATCTTTTTGGTCTTGTGTTTTTAAATCGACTCTTTTTTTCAAAAGAGGTCTAATTTTACTAAATTATGTTAGCAAAACGTCTATTTTGCTAAAACTTAGCCAAAAACGCGACTCTTTTGCAAATTTTCCTTATATATATACCAGCTGTCCCCGACTTGAAAAAACGAGGAAAATTACTTAAGGTAGTTATTAAAAACTATAATCATGAGATGCACTGATTTATTATTTACATATATAAATACCGGTATTTGTAAAGATACTACTGAGCCTAGGCTTAGTAAATTTTCTTCAACTAGTTAGCTTGGCCAAGAATTCAGTCCCACATAATGTATATTTATTTCGTAATTGCTTAAAAAGATTCCAATTTCATGGCAATGAATCAGTTAAACTTCTTTTATTAGCTAGCCTAGATAGTTTTGACCAAAATTCTTTCCAATCAAGCACTACTTCTCAAAATGGACCAGGTTAAAACCCATGGGCAGGAAAAAAAACACATACAAAAACATGCCCTTGCCATACTATACTTTATAATTGCTTTCAAAATTGCATTTTTATGCTGGATGCATTCGCAGGAGGCCAAAACGGAACCACCGCACCACTCCAACCGGCACGCAACACCCTCCTCAACCCTACGCAACCCCCAACAGCAAGCGGCAGCCCCTCATCAAGCCAGCAGCGAGCCAGCAAGAACAAACGCAATGCGCCGCAGTCCAGCAGCAAGACCCTTCATGCGATCGCCAACGTGGATCCGCATAATGCGGAAGGTGCCT